CACCGACAATTATTCATCGACAAGTTCATTTTACCGACAGTTTATTTCACCGAAGCTCATTTCACCGACAAGTTTTTTTTTTATAAATTACACTAACTTTACAGCTGTTTTCATAAATTCTGGGACACCTAAAAATTTTCTCGTTTCCCGGAATCTTTTCGGGTTCGTCTGGTAAATTACCTACCTCTCCGGAAACTACATCGCTGTCTCCGGACTGAAGGTTCGAAAATAGCGGACGAAACCGAAAAGGTTCCGGGAAACGAGAAAATCTTTAGGTGTCCCAGAATTTATGAAAATAGCTGTAATTATAATTCTGACCTGACCCCAATGATATTGACCAGAATTACTTTGTCTGTAAATTGAGCGTCGGTAAAATAAACTGTCGGTGAAATGAATTTGTCGAGTTAAGTAATTGTCAGTGAAATGTGGTGTCTACGAAGTGATTGTCGATGAGTTTATCGGATCCCATAATTTGGGATAAAATTTTTCTTCTCTAAACATTATTTATTATAGCTTAACGTTAGCGATAAGAAATTTGATCACCCGAATGTGCTTAAAGTGTTTGGCCTTACACATGGTAAGTTCATTATTTATAAAATATTAGTGTTTGCGATTTAATAATTATTATACTAATACATGTAATAGATAAATATAGTAATTGTTATTACTTCGTCCGCGAATATGCTAATAACGGTAATTTGCGTAATTATCTTCGGCAAAGGTCTTTACTGAAGCATCCACTAAATTGGAATGATAAATTAGAATTAGCACGTCAGGTGGTTAATGGTTTAAAATGTCTTCATGATGGGTCAATTGTCCATACGGAATTTCTTTATTCTATATAAATTATTAGGATATATTATCTAATTTTTTATTTAATTTTTTTTAGCATCCATGTAATATATACGTACATGATGGTATTCCAAAATTAGCAAATATTGGAATGTCTAAAGTTCATACTCCTTATAATCTTTCCTTTACCCAATACACTCCACCCGAAATATTATTAAAAAAGATGTTCCTCTTAATTTAAAAACAAAGCTAAATATTTATAGCTTAGGTGTTTTAATGTGGGAAATCTGCAATGATGGTATTGCACCTTTTCTCGAAGATTATAATGTTTCTTTAGGATTTGAAATAATTAAGGGTGTTCGAGAATCCCCTAAATATGGAACGCCGCCAGAATTCATTAACCTTTATCAGAGATGTTGGGATCATAAACCTGGTATATTATATTTTATTTATAATTAAATACTGTAATTAATAAATTTTAATTAACTGTCTGAATATCAATTAATTATTTGTACAGATGGCCGGCCTGATTGTTCAGAAATTCTTGAAGACCTAGAAAAAATTATCCAACAGAGCAAATCCTTTAAGTTTGAAGACAATGAAATCAAAAATACAACTAAAACCAAAAATACTACCTCAAAATTCGAATTACATTTCAACTTCAATGATTGTGAATTGAATATTGATGATCTAGAAAAACAAGCAAAATTACAAATTCAATTTATTAATAATCTTGGTCTAAATAAGGGAAGGAATTTAGATAAATTCGATATTGCTTTTGGGATAAAAACAATACTTGGTGAACTTGGTGCATTAGAAGTAAAAAGGTTGAGGAATCAAGAACCAATAATTATTATTCCAATAAAAGATTTGAATATTACGGACGATATTCCCCCGGAATACGATATTGTAAGATTGCATTTCCCAACTGCTTCTGTAAGCTATAAGGGTGATGTGAATGAACAATTTATTCAAGAAATCAAAACCGTATTAGATAGTTCTAATGATGATGAGAAAAAAAAAAGCACCGTTAAGAAAGATATTTAACGAATGGGGTAACTTTATAGTTAACGATGTAACTATCGGTGGGGCTGTAACAATAAAAAATTGGTCAAAAATTAGCAATGAAAACAAGTCACGTTTAAAGACATATATCCAATGGGGCGTGGATTATGCAAAAGGTGGGAAATCACCAGTTTTCAATGACGCATCACTTAGTGACTTTCCTCAATTTGAAACCTCAAAAAAAAAACATGAATACTATTGGAGAATTTTATGAATGGTTAAAAGATATATATAATTACAGATGCGCCGAAATTATATCATATGAGAATCTTAGACATTCTTACACATTATTAGATGATGTTTTAGTAAAACGCGTATTCCAATGTCTTCCTAATCAACCTCCTGATAGACCGTTAAGAAAAATTCCATTGATACCAACTTTATATGATCAACAACAATTTTTAGAATGGATAAGAGTACCAACGCCTCCATTATTATTATACACGCGTGATTGGATACATGAACTGTCTCTGAAGTATGGTATACTCCTAAAACGCTCGTATTTAGGACGTAGTGAGAAAGCATGCCTCAAATTTTCTAAAGAGCCTAAAATAACAGAAATGAATATATTTACTGTTTTATTAGCGCAACCCAAGACACAGCAAGAAGCGTATTTATTGAATAATGGCATAATTATAAGAGAAAATGATGAATTAGATTTGAAAAATATTCCCTTTCTTGATGATATTTTAGAATTTAATTTTCCTTTAGAAGATTTTCAACATCCTAAGGAACCATCCAAAACGATATATTGCCAAGTTATTGCCAAAATGGCAAAAATTTCTTTTGACCTAGAAAATATTAAGCCTTTAGAAGAAGTTTCAGAGTTTGTTAATATTTCTCTTGGAAGTTGTGAACCGTACAAAAACCTTTGTGAATTATTTAGTAATAATTACGGACATTTAGTTCCAAGAACTTTAATTTTAGGGAGGAAATTATCAATTGAACTTAAATCTTGTGATATTTCTGAGAACACTATTGATACGCAAACATATAATTATGATAAATTTAATGCATTGGGAATTAGACAAATTTTAGCAAACTGGGATGATCAATATAAATATGTTGATACGAGACTTTTTACGAGTGATGGGGAAATAATCAGGCGAGATAACATTGAAAATTGGTGGAATAATCTTAAAGAAAATCCCAATAATTGGAAAGTTATTTCTTATGAAGATTGGATTCCAGTATATAAAATATTGAAAAAAACACAAAATGAAAACATTAAAGAACTATTGAGTGATCAATACCGTATAGTTTTTAGTGGAGAGGAATCACTTCGGAAAAATGATCAAACTGTTATAACTGTTAAATTTCCCGGTCCTATTGACAATAATTATCAAATTTATGGAAGCGCTGTTAAGAAAATTGCGGATGGCAATTGGGAAAGTATTTCGGATATAAAGGTTAGATTTAAGCATACTAATAAATATGGTTGTGTTGCAGTATTACTTAAAAGTAGAGAAGCTAGGTATTTTATCATATTTTGTTTATTTTCGTAGTCTTCATGACTTATAATTGGTAACAGGTATGGATGTTAACAGTCTAGTCTGGTTTAGTCTGGTCTAGACTAAAGATGCCTGACGAAATTATTTTCGCGATGACGAAATGGTTTCGTCATGGTTTCGTCATGACGAAACCTTGACGATTGACGAAATCCCTGACGATTGACGAAACCTATGACGAATTGACGAAACCTATGACGAATTGACTAAATCTATGGCGAATTGACTTGACGAAACCTCTAATGATTAATGAAACATTAACAAGCCGATTTAGTTTGTAATTAAACAACAAGCTTCTATATAATGATCTTTGGATACACAAGATCTTAAATTGTTTAAATAAGTTATTTTATTACAAGGTTTTATTGGCTTTTTTCTTTTTTTCTTCTTTCGCATGTATTTCGGGTTGATCCGGAATAGTCAAAATTTTCGATTCCGGATCAGCCCGACATAAATTCCGAACACGTGCGAATGAAGCGAAAACGCGCTTTGCTTATTTCATATTTACAAATTTTAATTTCCTTTTTTGTGGATGGTTAAAGTCGGGTACATCACGGGTTTTTAATTAAAATCGATTTATATTAGAGTTAGGTTTAGGTTAAGGGTAAAGCAAAGGATTTATATATAGTAAATCGCATTTCTGTGTTTTTGTCTTTGTTGTTTTGCTTTGTTTTGTTCGGACAGATCCGTGTTACTAGCTTAGCTTACCCTTTTTTGAATCGCAATGCATAACAAAAATATACTGGATATCTTAATGTATATATTGTTATGCAACCTAAAGTGATTCTCAATCGCTGTTAATTTTTATAAACGCGGTAATTAACTTTATCTTGTATGAATACAACACATCTAGTTTCGTCATAGGTTTCGTCAATTCGTCATAGGTTTCGTCAATTCGTCATAGATTTCGTCAATTCGTCATAGATTTCGTCAATTCGTCATAGGTTTCGCCATCATCAGTGATGGACAATTTCAAGGTCATCTCATTTTTTTGAAGTGACCTAGGTCACTTTATATATGATCACGTGATGTATTTATAGTAAAATCATCACGTGGTTATGTCACTTCGAGGTCACTTCAAGGTCACTGTCCATCACTGGTCGTCATGGGTTTCGTCAATCGTCAATTCGTCAATTGGAAGTCACCTGACGAAATGGTTTCGTCATTCGTCAATGACG